AATATATAGACAAACAGAAAGTGTAGCAATGGGACCACCAATATCCCCTATTGTAGCAGATATATTTATGGACAGCTGGGAAAATATCGCTCTTAACACAACATTTAATCCTACTCCAAAAGTATGGTGGAGATGTGTGGATATGACACTTTCACACACAGTGTTGCAAGCAGAACATATCTCTAGCTTCTTGACACACAGAAACGCACTAGTAGAGGAAATAAAATTCACATTTGAAGCTAAAAATGAACAAGGAGAATTAACCTCTAGTGTTAGATTGTAAAATAAAACAAACAGAAGAAGGTGAACTGCACTCTAGCGTTTATAAAAGGCCAACGTATTCTAATAAATATTTAGACTTTAATTTATCATATCCGGTAACTGTTAAGTCAGGCTTAGTTAAGTGCTTAACAAACCGAACAGTAGCACTAAGTAGTACAACAAAAAATCTAAACCATGAAATGAAACATATAGAAGAGGCGTTGGTGTCAAATAACTATCCTCCAAAATTCATTAGGAATATCAAGAAAGGTCAAAAGCAAAATAAAAATAATGCGGAAACTAATAATGATAAATCAGAGGGAATATAAGGCATCTACAGTGGTTCTACCCTATGAGGAGAGGACATCTGAGACATCTCTCATTTAAACCAACAAACTCTCTCAGGGAAGACAAGCTCTGTAGGTTAAAGCACCCTGTTGGTTGGCCCAATAATATAACTTACAAAATACCTTGCAATGAATGTTAGCGAGGTCAACTACACAGGTCAAACTAGTAGATCGGGGGCAGTCAGATTGTCAGAACAGAAGAATTTAGCTAAGGTAAGAATGGTTGACCCCACTCGGGAAGATAAGTAATTTAGGAAATTGCATGCGTTGTCACACAACCACACAGTGGGGTTAACATTCTAAGAAGTAATCTATGTAGGTAGAGATAGAGAGAGGTTGATTACTCAATCCTGCCTGGTTCATTGAGTCTACATCCAACACGTGCAATAGGATGCGATGACTCAACACTCATACCCGAAATATGGAAAATACTACTACCACCCAGACCAAGCGATGGAAAATAATGATGGAATTATATAAACGAAGTTAGAAAGTTGTGTGAGTAGCGCCTTGATATGATTATGAGCAGTAATGAAGTGTGCTCGAAACGTGATCACCATTGAATATTACTGTATAACACGCTATGAGATTTTATCAAAATAAATTTTACCGATAATGGAGTAATACTCTACTACAGTGAACAAGTTTTATTCTTATTTCCTATATGATTACTGCATTCTGTCACCCATGAAAAAATGTGTTCATATGTTCGTAGCGTTTATAAAACGGATGGACAAACGCATAAACAGAGTGCACTACCTCTGAACACATCTTCTCACTGATAGAAAATTCGATACTTAACTAATGCTCAGCTTGGTTGCAGATGGAGGAAATCAGTCAACAAACAGTTCACTGAATTACACCACATTCGGATGACCTTGAATCAGATCGTCCAGCACTACAAATGAATGACTTTCGTAATCTTAGTTTCAGGTTTTATCTTGATTCAGGGTTAAGGTTAGGGTAGGATTAATATAGCTTTATGATCAAGGTTAGAGCTAGACTTTCAAGAAAGAAGTATCCATTTGTAATGCTGGGCAACCTGATTGATTGATTGCCTCAAGGTCTTTTGGTTGTGGTGTCTATTCTTTACTGTTTCCAAAGCGTTTTTAAGGGATAACCAGTTAACCACCCTAAATATAATTATTCTTTGCCTCGTTCACTGACAAGGATGCTTCTTTGATTAGACACTAGTAACCAGTGTCCAATCAAACTACCTATTACAGTTCTGCAGGAAATCAATCGCGAGCCTGAATAGCTCAGTGGTAACGTCTCTGACTGCACCACTGAGTAACTCGGATTCGAATCTCAGAAAGGGCATGAGTTCCTTCAAGGTGATTGCGTATACGCCTTACTGACGAGTGCCAAATAGCACGAAACCTAGGTCCAAGGCTTCCAGTGGCCGATTTCCTCTAACTATCTAATAGTATCAGGATTTTATCATGAGCTGACATCAGTTAGAGAACAATTGGAAAACTAGCTGGGAGTAGTGGACAGCTGTTTTTGCTATCCTGGTTTGGGACTCATCAGCAGTACGCACCCACCGCCAGGGTTCGAACCCAGGACCTTTTGATTACAAGGCGAGCTCGTATACCATTAAGCCACCGGGACCCATTCCAATGGCCCATGAATTCTAACTTTTGCCAATCCATGACATAGTGACTTGCCCTATTCAGGTAGGTAGTTACCTGGGGTTCTAGTGAGAAGTCGTGATCAGTAGGGTGCAGCCGGTAGTGTGTGAGGACAAATACTTGCCAAAGACACTGGCTAGGGCTCACGCTATTGTGTGAACTGGCAAAAGTTAGAATTCATGGGCCATTGGATCGGGTCCCGCTGGCTTAATGGTATATGAGCTCAAATTGTAACCAGAAGGTCCTGGGTTGGAACCCTGGCGGTAGGTGCGTACTTCTGAAGAGTCCCAAACTAGGACGAAACAGCTGTCCAGTACTCCCAGCTAGTTTTCCAGTGGTTCTCTAACTGATTTCAGCTCATGATGAAGTCCTGAAACCAATCAAATCCTTACAAACCAACATTTGAATATCTAATAGTATGCTTATTTTCGATAACTTCTTCTTCAGGTTTTACAGTTATGCATCAATAACACTTAAGGAATAAATTTTGATCACAATATCAATATTTCCCCATGATATCCAAGTATTACAATCAAAAATTCATGTGGTATCTCTGGGTGCATTGCAATATTCAAACCAATTATTGTATAGACAGGATATCAGATGTTATCTAGTAACATTTTGTTCACACATAAATCTTAGATTTTCAGTTTTAGTGAAGCGATGTTATCACTGTTAGTAAACACTTGATAGTCTGCTTATTCAAACTGTTATCCATTTGGGTGGGAGGCGGGGTGACAGACAAGAAGATTGTCATTGTTTAATCGTGTACTGGTCGGCAGTAGATTGCAAAAAAATAAGCTGAGAAACTTTGTCACTGATTAACCATTGTAAATCTGTTTTATTGTCGCTCGAAAAATAAATGAGTGTTGCCCAGCGGTTTTCTGTTATTCTCCATTGGTTACAGTGTGTAGTGTTCTGCGTATTTGGAGGCTTAGTCTACTGAAACCAGAGATGGGTCCATAATCTCTGAGATCTAGATATCTGACAAATGATCTTCGTTGAGTAGCCAGTGGTTTGAAGTTTATCTTTGAATCATTGTTCTACAGATTAGTTACACCATTTTTCCAATGGTAATAAACAGATTTATTATTTTTAATGTATCACTTGAAAATTCTACGACATACTGGCTAGAAACTAAAGCAGAACAGGCCGCAGGCAAAACAGACATCAGGACACTACATCAGGTAACCAAGTCTCTATCCGAGAAGGGATCAACTCAGATGATGAAACCAATAGACGATGCTCAGGAGAACCTGATCATCAAGGAGGGGAAACAAATCAAACAACTGGCTGATGACCTTCAAGGAATACTGAATCGACCGTCACCGACAGCTTGCCCAGAAATGCCACCAACACCAACAGCACACACGGAAATGCCTGACAGTGGACATCACTCCTTCAACGAAAGAAGAAATCCTGAGTGCGATCAAGCTACTCAAGTCCGGTAGGGAAGGCAGCAGGACTGGACGACATTCCTCCCGAAACACTAAAGACAGGTCCAAAGATTACGGCTGGAGTTCTGACTCCATTATTGAGAAACGTTTGGGAAGAAGGAAAGGTAGTTACTGATAAGAAGAAGGGCTGTCAACCTTGTCCGACTGCTGAAGAAGGGCGGCTTAGGTCGGTGCAAGAAATAACTGGGGTGGAATAATGTTCTTTTTCATGCCAAGTAAAGTACTAAGTCTCATTATCCTGGAGAGATGAAAGATGCAGTGGAAACAGAACTCCACCAACCTCACCGGAATAAACTGGATTCAGGAAAAGCAAATAATGTGCTGACCGAAATGAAACTCTACACATGGTCATCATAAAAAAGCATAGAATGGTAGTATAACCTCTCTGTCTACTTCAACTTCACTGACTCCGAAGAGGCGTTTGATAGAAAGCGCTAACCAAGAATTAATTTGGAAACGACAACAACACTATGGTGTGCAGTGTTCAAGTCTTTGTCAACCTCATTCAACAGCTATATGACAACGCCACGTGACAGGTGAGCCACAACGGAAAACTCAGCGGGGCTTTCGAAGTATAAACAGGAGTAAGACAAGACTCTCTATTATCACCGATGACAATTCTTTGTAGTGGTACACTGGATTGTGCGTCAGACTGTGCGCTGGAAGTTGGAGTCTGTCAGAACGGACAAGGATGTTAAAGTCGGCCAGACAGAATCGGAAACGCGAGATACACTTTCATCAACTTGAAACCAGTTTCACAAGGAACATAACTCAACATAAGGAATAGGATTCAGTTTTTCAACACCAATGTGAAGTCAGTCCTTTTATTCGGTTCAGAAACATGCAATGCATGTCATGAAATGGATTACCAACAGGTTGCAGACTTTCATCAACAGCTGCCTTATTTACTGGCTGCCCACTGAATATTTTAAATGCTGGTCAGAAAGAATTAGCAACAAAAAAACTCTGCAGTAGAACAAAGCAATAGGCGAGAGCCGATCGCTCAACAAATTTGTAGGAGAAAAGAAAGATGGATAGAGTATACACTGAGGAGACCGCCGAATGAGATGACATACAGTGCAGGCCATTGCTCAAGGGGAATCCAAACCGGAAGCAACGAGTGAATTGTTAGTGCTAGAGTTACATGGAAGAGATCATGTGAGAAAGAGATAAGAGAGTTTGATCAATCGTGGACCCAGCTGAAAAGGTTGGCAGAAAACATAACAGAGTAGAGCCCTATGTTCCACTCGGGACCTAAGGGAATAATAACAATAATAATACCTGAAAAGTGAACATTTACTTACCTGTTTCAACTTTTTAATATCTTCATCCAATTCTAAATTATCCAGGATAACAGCGACAAAAAGGCTGAGTACAATCTATCGATAAATGAATTGAAACAAAAGAGAAATCAAATTTTAACCGATGAGTATTCAAGGAGATTATCTAACTTCCTACACAGCTAGTTATCCTCAGAAGTCAGTAACAATAAAAATTCATGATAACAGTTTCTTTCTTATTATAATCAAATGCCTTAGATTTTACCGATACATTCTGTAGCTTAGAAGTAGCATATCAACCAATGAAGTTTGGGAGCTACTTACCAAAAGCAATGAATATCAGCCGTCCTCGTTGTTAATATCAGTAAAAAGTTTGAGCATTGTGGATTAGATCAAATAAAGTGTAATTATATTTCAATAGTTTACAGACAATGATAAGTTTTGTCATTGGTAATTTCGCTCAAAATATTACCAATAACAAAACTTATCATTGTGTGTGAACTGTTGAAATATAATTATGTATTATTTATTTTTATTTACAGCTTGGTTCCACACTGTATTTTTGGTACAAGTATGGAATTTTCACCATGGATATCGGTAGCCCAAATTTTGCAGGCCGACCATAGATATCACGTGTGCGTCGGCGGGGGTTCGAACCTCGGACCATGTGCATGGTCGGCGAGAGTCCTAACCACTGTGCCACCGGCGCACAAAGCCAGCTCCTCGACCGGGAATCGAACCCGGGCCTTCTACGTGACAGGCGGAGATACTCACCACTACTTTATGTGTACTCGTTGTTTTCCCTCTGAATGTAGCATCAAAAATTCAACCTCATAATTTAACGGGTGAGAATAAAGATCCCCCGCAGCTCTGTTCTCAAAAACCTGATCGATTCTGAACAGTAAGAAACCTGGCAAATAGGCTTCGGGATCACATAGAGAGTAGGTGGAAATATTGTCAAAGTAGTATAAATCAAACTTATTCAAACTACCTTAGCTATTACAATCAACATCTTAAATCGAGAAATCTGTACACAGCAGACTTTTATTCAATTCTTGAACAAATTATTATTGTTACTGCACTGGGTTCTGAGTAATAAAAAACGGATTCAATGATACTACTCAACTTTCGTCTATTTGCTACTGTGCGTCGGTGGCACAGTGGTTAGGACTCTTGACGACCATGCACATGGTCTGGGGTTCGAGCCCACGCCGATGCACACCTGATATCTATGATCGGCCTGCAAAATTTGGGCTACCGATATCCATGGTGAAAATTCCATACTTGTACCAAAAATACTGTGTGGAATCAATCTGTAAATCAAAAATAAAAATAAAATAAACACTGTCCTCTTTAGTTGCCTAGCCCTACGATTGCCCATAATCTCTCATTTCATCCTCCCCAAACGATCTCTTTCATGTCACCTCCACACCGATAACCCAATCGTCGCTTCTCGACACTGAAGAGACTATTTAGGAAACGACGAAATACCATGAACTGCTGCAATAATATGGAGGAGGTCATATGTGACAGAAGCGATAACAGACTGTGGATGATCTTGTGGTCAGCTAAAAAGGGCTTCAAGGAAGAGGATAATGATAAAAATTTCCACGAAAAACTCCTTTTTGACATTGGTTAGACAGTAGTGAGAAAAAATAGTATCAAGAATAGAAAAAGCTGGTTTACATTGCTATTAACTTTCAAATATCTCACAGTGTAAATCGGAAAAATGCGAATCATCATAGTCGAAATACTAGTTACTATTACCATAACTGTTAACTGTTCTTATATTCTAAAGGAGAAAGGACTTTTGAATAAAGACATAAATCAACTGCGAAGACATCAAACAACACCAACACCAAAAGGACTGATTTCGTTTCCTCTTTATAGTGTGACTTTCAAATGTAATTTAGTAATGTCCACTAAAAAACATAAATCAGTTAGTGAGGGAAAAAACACATCGGTAAACGGAAGTCAAAAATAAAAGTGACGTCATTTCGAAATAATGTCCATAGACAGGAAAAGGGGAAGAGGAAACAGAAGGAGTAGACATGAAGAGTTGCGCAAATAGAAGAAGAGTGGAAAAATGCCTTTTGAATGTGTTTTCTTCCATGAAAAATGAGTGTGCTGTCTTGAAACAATCGATAAACATGAGCACTAACGGGAAGAATAAAAGTGAATATCCATGATTAAAATAAAGGCGAATTATGGGGAAAGGGTAAGATTACTCTTGTAACAGAAAAAAATTGTTTAGAAAACTGCTCCACAACAATTCTAACCCATATCGAAGACCTGACTGACTCACTTAACATTGGTATCGAAAATCCGAATTTCGTTCTTAATGTAGAGGGCAGGAGATTTTTAAAGTGATTCCAGAGTGATAAATACCTTTGTAGGCTTCCCGATGCTGGTTTTGATATCCTCAGCAATTTCTACTGCCTGTAGTTGAAACGATGCTACCTAGCCAGTTACTTGGAGAAAGTGACCGCTCCCAAATATCTTCTTTTGATAGTGACTGGTGTTGATTATTTTTTTTTATTTTTTATTTATTTACTTTTTATTTTTGATTACAGCTTAATTCCACACTGTATTTTTGGTACAAGTATGGAATTTTCAGCGTGGATATCGGTAGCCCGAATTTCGCAGGCTGACCATAGATATCAGATGTGCGTCGGCGAGGGCTCGAACCCCGGACCATGTGCATGGTCGGCGAGAGTCCTAACCACTGTGCCACCGTTGTTGTTGGTCACTTATCTTCATCACCGCCGTCTCCTCTATGTCTGCTTGTATTTCTGTCCTCCCCACGTGCTTCTTATGTCAGTATGTCGATTCTCTCCTGTGGGTCTTCGAGCCCGAGTGCCATGAGACATAAAATATCTGCAGAATTCAGATCTAGTAGAGTCTTATAATTGGGCTAATGTATTTCTACCTCCGTAATAACCCAGTCCACCACAATTAGGAATATCTGTGGTGATAATAGACTGACAACATTGCTTACTCCATTATATTTTCACTTTGAAATCTTCATTGAGCTTTCTGTAGTGGATCACTTGACACTTAAAAGTGTCGTATATGTGTTGAGTGAGGCTGGTAAGGATTTGAGGCACTGCATTCCATAGCGTTGACGTAATTTCCAAATCACTTTTAAATGACACCCTAGTGAAAAATCCCACGTAGAATTTTACATATTCTTTCTTCATTATCATTATTGTCCCCTTTAGTTCCTAATGGGAAAATAGGGCTTCAGTCACACGTCTCCATTGAGTTCGGTTCTCTTTCAATGTTTTCATCACCTGGCTCCACGTCTGCCCACATACTTTCATCTCCTTTGCACATCACCTTCTCCTGCATGTCACCCGCCACACTGACGATCAACTCGCCACTTCCCGTTCGGGTTCAACTCGAGTGGTGACATGGTTTGTGATGTCACTTTATGGTTTCCTCAGAGTATGGCCAATCCACCTGGATTTCTTCCCGATTATTTGTTGCACAATTAATTCTTCCCACTGAAGTACTACGGGGGCTTTACTTCGTTATTATTCGTATTACGATCATGATTTACAGTTTTGCTTCTAGCTGGATGAATTTTTGGATTTAAGGTAACCGAAAATACTGAATAAATTCCACGTAAAAAAAGGTGAACTTGTCAGTCAATAATATCACTCTCACTCACTTTATCTGACGTCAACATGTGATAGACATAATAAAAACTAATACATATATGAATATAGGTCATTTCCGAAAAAGAAACCGATAATGATGAATGACTTCCAGTTTATTATAGCCAAAATAATGAAGTCATAAAATAGAAAATTCAGAAGTCTTTACTAAAAGGTTAATTTCCACTCTGAAATAAGTCTGGAAATCGGCTTACTACACTCTTCAGTGAAACAAAACATAACAAAATTCAGATATTCAACACCAAAGACAAGACAGTCGGTTAGTCAATCAGTCAATTCTTGGCATTCATATCACAAAAGCCTTTTGATAAGGCCACTGCAGGCTTTCGACAATAGCTAACTTCCCTGGTTTTATGTGTTTTCAGTTCAGATGGCCAGTTAGAGATTGGAGAGAGAGAGAGAGAGAGAGGAAACTCAGGGAGTGAACCAATCATGGACCTTTTGTGCAATGCACGTTCCGAGAAAAATGGCGATAGACCAATCGGGTGAAATCACGTGGCAGGCGATTGTTCTTGTGGAACCCGAAAAGCAAAACGATGAGTTTGGCTTGCTTCAAGTATGAAATGGATGGGGTTGTACGAGGAGCAGATGAGAGAATTTGGATAATCTTTTGGCCAACCTAAATGGTCAGCAAAGAAAAGGACTATTGGAGATGTGCTACTGGTATAAGAATAAAACTTGTGCACTGTGGTAGAGTATTATTCCATTATGGATGAAATTTTTATTTTGAAAAAGTCTCACAGTGTTATACAGTAATATTTACTGGTGACCTCGCTTCCAGCAAAATTTATTACTGCTCATCGTCATTATATCAAGGCACTACTTACACAGAACGTTTTAAATTCATTTATATGATTCCATTATTTTTCATCGCTTGGTCTGATTGGTAGTAGTATTTTCCATATTTCTGGTATGAGTGAAGAGTCATTCCTATTACACGTGTTCGATGCAGACTCTATGAACCAGGCTGGGTTTAGTAATCAACCACTCTCTATCCCCACCTAACTATATTACCTTTTAGAATTGTAACCCTCTCCCACCATACTGTGTGGTTGTGTGTAAACGCATGCGGTACAATTGCCAGGCTTTTTCCTAAATTACTTATCTTGTTGAGGTCCATCATTCTAGTCTTAAGTGAATTCTCATATTCTGATAATTTGACTACTCTCTATCTACTAGTTTGACGTATGTAGTTCACCTGACTCACAGTCATTGCAAGCTATTTTATCAGTTATGGTATTTTGCCTAATTGGGTCAACCTACAGGGTCCTTTAACCTACCTAAATGATTTTTTGATTTGAAATGCCACCTTAAGGCCTCCTGCCTCATTAGAAATCTTACCAAGTGTTTTAGATATCCGCGCCTTATCTGGTAAAAAATGTTTATTTTTTCTTATTCATGTTATCATTATTAGTTTCA